CTTTCCCTGTTCTCTCCCTTTGACAGTAATACATCGTGATGGATACAGGGAACGCAGTCTTCTTCTGAGAACCAGTAGCTGCCTGGGTCTTTGAATAGCTAGAGAGAAATCAAAATGTGTCTCCTTGGAAAACTACCACCCAGTGGGGAAGCAAACCACGCTTTACCTTCAGATCATTAGCAGCCTGCTCTACGGTCCTTCTGTTACCATCTGCTTTCTCTTTTCTGTCTTCTAGATCCTTCAAACACAACTCCATGAGTTCCTATACAGCAACGAAACAAAACAAAACACTGTTTCATAACAACATCTGTGAAAAACAGAAATCAGTATCCAGCTTGATTTCTATATAAAATCATAGAATAATAGAATCATAGAATGCTTTCAATTGGAAAGGACCTTTAGAGGTCATCTAGTCCAACCCCCCTGCAGTGAGCAGCTATTTTCAACTAGATCAGGTTGCTCAGAGCCTCGTTCGACCTGGCCTTGAGTGTTTCCAGGGATGGGGCCTCCACTGTCTCTCTGGGCAATCAGTTCCAGTGTTTCACCACCCTCCTGGTAAAAAATTTCTTCCTTGTATCCAGTCTAAATCTACCCTCCCTTAGTTTAAAGCCATTATTCCTTGTTCTATTGCAACAAGCGCTGCTGAAAATATTTTCCCCATCTTTCCTATAGGCCCCTTCAGGTACTGAAAGGCTGCTATAAGGTGTCCCTGCAGCCTTCTCTTCTCCAGGCTGAACAGCCCAAACTCTCTCAGCCTTTCCTCATAGGAGAGGTGCTCCAGCCCTCGGATCATTTTTGTGTCCCTCCTCTGGACCCACTCCAACAGCTCCATGTTGTTCTTGTGCTGAGGGCTCCAGAGCTGGACACAGGACACCGGGTGAGGTCTCACCAGAGCAGAGAAGCCCCTCCCTTGCCCTGGTGGCCACACTTCTCTTGATGCAGCCCGGGATGTGGTTGACTTTCTGGGCTGCGAGTGCACACTGGTGGCTCATGTCAAGCTTTTCATCCACCAGGACACCCAAGTCCTTCTCGGGATTCAGGGGTGCTCCCAATCCCTTCATCCCCCAGCCTGTATTAATTGCAGGGGTTGCCCTAACCCAGATGCAGGACCATGCACTTGGCCTTGTTGAACCTCATGAGGTTCACACAGGCTCATCTCTCAAGCTTGTCTGGGTCCCTCTGGATGGCATCCTGTCCTTCTGGCATGTCAGCTGCACCACTCAGCTTGGTGCCATCTGAAAACTTGCTAAGGGTGCAATATATAGAGGAACACTGTCACTGAAACACTTGGTTTATGAGGCTTATTAAGACCAGTAGTGATGAAACATAAGGATTTCAACATTTCTTCTGCTCCTGATGGGTATACTGGTAAGACCTGGAGAGCTGTGCAAATTAGTACCTCCTTCATGAGGAACAGGGAAACCTATGGCAAAATACCCCACATTTTCATCTCTAAATCTATGGCACTGTGCATTTTAAGACTATAAACTCATGCACATAGCAACAAAAGGGCAGATAACCAAGTACTTTTATTGAGAGGATCAGTGGGAGGCTCTGTCTAGAGTCAAAATCCAGTGAATATTCAGGATACTTCCCAGCGTACAAAAGAGCCGTCAGAAATACCCCACTATCACTGCAGTAATTCTGTGGTCTGAATGCCTGCAACAACGTATATTATCAGCTCGGCTGGTAATCACAGTATCTGTGATACTTTTGGTGTGCTCTGCGATCCACTAAGCAGCACAGCAGAGTCAATGTTTTGCTCTGCCTAGCCCCACAGTTTTTCACCTGTTCTCACCTCAGAAATTGGCCATCCTTTGTCCATCAGGTTGAGCAGTCTTGGTGCACTTGGTGGTGCATTTTTGTCATTAGTACCATGAAAGATCCAGGCAATGCTGCCCCATGCTCTCAGTGCACTAGTGTTATAATAGAGCCTCTAAGTAAATACCAGATAATGTAGCTCCAGAGCTGTAGCTGTTACCAGTGACTTGTTCTGCAGCCGGGACCCACTCAAGAGCATCTGTATGCATACGTAAACCTCATTGCAACACCTCCAGTTCAGCACAGCACTTAAAATCTGCAGGGCTGACAAACTGAGCATAAGTGTTGCTTCATGGGTAACAGTTTACACTTCTGACATATAACTCATTTGAAAACACGTGCAATTTTTCATTTGATTATGACAGAGTCAGAAGAAAATGGACTCCCAGCAAAAGCCAGAGATTCCACATCTGGAAGTCCCTTAGCACAGGCACATCCACACAAGCACATAAATGTTCTTGCATGGAGCAAGACACTCATGTTATGCCATCCATTCCAGTCACAGTTTTCCAGTCTTGTCCCTGAAGGACCAGAAGAGTTCTCCACAACTTGAAAATTCAGGAGTTCTACCAGAAGGCCAATGGGCTCCTGGGATGCATTAAGAAGAGTGTGACCAGCAGGTCGAGGGAGGTTCTCCTCCCCCTCTACTCTGCCCTAGTGAGGCCTCATCTGGAGTACTGTGTCCAGTTCTGGGCTCCCCAGTTCAAGAAAGATGAGGAGCTACTGGAGAGAGTCCAGCGGAGGGCTAC